TAAAATGCTTTCAATACGATGACAAAAAGTAAAATGTACCTATTCACCATCATGGCAGCGTGTTCTCTGTTTGAATTCTTATTTTTTATTCTATTTTGATTTATAATTTTAATTTATTTAAAATATAAAAAGAATACAAACCATAACATTCCGACATTCTCGTTACAGTATATAGGTACTTAAATACTCAATATTATACGCAATTCGAATAGTGATTTCGAAGACTTGCTAGTCAAGTATTTATGCTTCTGTTTCGTCGTTTCATAAATTTTTCCTTAATTAATAAACTAAAAATTATTAAATAACTGAGTATTAATTATTTTTATTAACAAACTTCAGAAACCATTTGAAACATTACTCAAGTCTAATGAAAAACTTGAATACCCAAACGTATATTCGAGTTAAGATACGATTTCTTTTTTAACGAATAATCGTTTAAAATACTCGAACACCAAAAAAGTTGCCTCGACACATCTCTAGCATGGACTGGCGATTTGTACAACTAGCAATTACCAGAGGATTTGTTTGGGCCGCATCCTAATTCACGGAAGTTAATTATGTTGCTGGTGTAATCTTGACAATGAATGTCATAAACAACTACTCTCAAAAAAAAATTTTTTTTTATTTAAACCGAACAATAATTTTTTTCTACTTATTACTAGGAATAATTGACGCTCCATGTAGTGATAAATAAGAGTTACCTCCCGTGAACACTCAGGCTGTAGAATGAGTTCCCTGGCAAGGTTTTTCCTAGAGACTACAGCAATGTATTAATATTTCTTCAGGATCAACAAAGCACACGTGACACACCTGGTGTAACATAAGCTACAGTGACCGTTTAACATCAGACAGGCTATAAACTTGTTCATCTCATTCGTGGTATAAATAAAAATATAGATAAAACATCAGAGTTTATCAGATAACTCACTAATAATTACTATTATATTGACCGTTGATATGTTAAAAATGAGGATTTTAATATATCAACAACAACACTTCCTTAGGAGCAGGAAGGCAAAAGAAACGACTTAAGTAACTAAACACAATACCAATACAAAAGTTAGAACACTCGAAATAAAATACTGTACCAACCCACTTGGCCATCAGATAATAATAGACCATTATCCTGCTACGGGAATAAATAAGACATGAAATAAGTTGCTACCAAACAGTGAGTTTATAAAAAAAAAAAAGAAAATCATTCCAAAGTCATTCATCAACTTTAAAACATTTCATTATTAAGCATCTCTTAATAATTTCGCGGTTGTCGTTATTTCAAAGAGCGGTAATATAAAACTCCTTCAGGAGCGATGAATTACTTAGCGAAATATAAAAGCCTATAATATTAATTAAGCTGTAGGTACTTACCTAATTAGCCGTTAGACAAAATCGAGTTGTGAGCGGCTGGTAAATTGCAAACGGGAGCTCCATATTTTACGGTCCGCTAAAATCCTTTTCTGTTGAACTTGGACTGAAGTCCACAAGTAATTATAGACTTTCGTTATATAAAAAGTTCGCAAATAGAAATAAATAAATAGAAAGTTTTTTAATCATTATACTTAATAAAACATCGATAAATATTTTACACCTACTACTATTACTCTATAATAGTGCACCTGTAGATTATATAAGTAACTCCTACTTTGCTCGCATGAATTTAATTATAAAGCAAGCCAATTCATTTTATAGACAGTATGAGACAGTCTATTTGTGTATAAAAGTTATAGAAATCTGCTCATCTGTTTAAACGAGTATATCTAAGGCGCTTTATAAACTACACATCTAAAATATCAGTAAGAGTTAGTAGTTTTAACGTCCTAATGCGATTCTTCCCATAAAAAAGAATATAAGCTATTATTAATTAAAATAATTAAATAAATTAATTGAGTAATTTAAATAGTAAGTAAGAATTTATAAATATTAAAAAAGACTACACCATTTAACGCCTTCTAAAAAAATTATAGCAAAAATGGTATTCTACGTCGTTGCAGAGAGATACCAAACAGATAATTTAGGAATATTAGTAATATTAAGAGATTAACGAATATTATTTTAAACTATGTTGATCGACGCAAAATATTCATTCATAAATTTATGAATCAATTAAATGGTTGCATATCTTTAAAAATAGCATTTTTACAAATAAAGTTATATACTTACTTTTATGAATTATTTGCTCAACATTACTTTATTTTTTTATTTACTTGATTTTTTGTTTTTTTTTTTTTTTATTTATCCCCAAAATTAAAATATTTTTTCTCAAAATTGATACAATTCTCTTTACTTTTACCCAATCATAAACTATTGTCCATTATCCCTACATTTTACCAAAGTTGTTAGTGACCATTTCAATTTATTTACTTACAGTTTGTTTACTACGAACGACGAAATAAAAAAAAACAATAGAAAAGATAGTCCCTCTCAGTGTTTATGGATGTTTTATGCTGAAAAAAAAACTATATATTAAACAAAACTAATATTAAAAAAAAAATCCATAGATAGCATATCTATGAAAACATTGTTTTCTTTGTGATTGATGTGTATTAAATTTGCAACTAACTATTGTTTCTAAATGTAGAAAAATAAAGTAAAAATATATTTTAATATTATTTGTCTAAGTTTTTTCGAGTATAAGTGCTTACATGGATAATAAGTTAATTGTCTTACTATATACATATACATTATAATTCTTACAAGTTCATTATTGATATTTACAAATGCCAAAGAAAACTTCCATTTCCACACACACCATTCCTCTTAAACAAAAATAAATTTTTACCCATAATTAAGAAAACATAATTCATCTAAAACGGCTACTTTACCATTTCTCTAATCTAGTCCATACACAAGAAAAGAACAACTCAAAATAAAATCCTACAGCAGTCCCTATTCAGCATTATAATAATAATCTCCTATAATGGAAAGAATTGCGCGTCTATCAGTAGGGCATGACAGATTTAAATGATATTATCCCGGTCTGAGGAAGTCTTTTCTCCCACTCGTCCAATAGATTCCTCTAAATAATAAATAGCAATGCATCCCAAATTGTTATGCAGTCGTTCGAATCATGACGATGGCATTGGACCACTGGATATTCTCACACTATGAATTTATACTTATTATGTTGAACAAGCTAAGTCTTTAAAATTAAGATATTCAAAGAATCACAATCTAGCTAATGAAAGGTGTAAGTAGTAAAATATCAGAGTACCTCTATATGAAGAAACTGAACTGCCTGGCCACTATTTTAAAACATCGTTTAGTTCTATTTTTAAATCGATATACTTGACTAGGTCATTTTTGTTTACCATTATTAGCGCACTTTATATTTTATAGATGTAACATTTGATTTTTTGTATATTTGAAGTTATTTATTTATTTATTTATTCTTTATTGCACAATAAAATTTTGTACAAATGGCGAGCTTAATGCCATATGGCATTCTCTACCAGCTAACCATAAGTTTCTGAATACTAAAAATACTTTCAGAAAGTCACAGTATTTGTGAATATTTTATATAGGACTATATTTTTTGCTAAAATGAGTGACAATTGCATGGTTCACGAAACAAGCCATGGAAAATAACTAGAGAAGTTTAACATACAATTCTATTTAGTTGTTGTTTTAGGTATTTTTATGACCTTCATATAAATTGTGAAGCATTGCACCATGAACGTCGTAAATTACCCTTAATGACGACTGCAACAAACTCAATAATGATGCAGTTAGTAATTGTACTCATAATAATAGTGGTACACATATAATTAGTAGATAAAAAGTGTCATATTAAAATTATAAATGTCTTGACAAATAATACAGTTAATAGTCCATTACTAGATATAGCCCTCCAGAAACTGCTATATAATACGATCTTGTACTACCTACATTCACCGATTCTCCTGCCACATAATTTCAGATTGCTGATAATATATGAATGTTGCCAGCAAAAATCCAAATGTGATAAAAAAATGCTAGCGCAAAATAAAATTTTTAATCACGCCTTTTGAGAGGCGCGTGTGTAGTATTGTCAGATCAGATAACTAAAAATCCGAAGCAAGAGTATTCTAATTAGAGCTACTTTTTTAAACTAAATAAGTATTGATGTGTGTAGTAAAAGTCAATTTGATTCTTGAAATTTGGAAATTATTATTTATCATAAAACCGAAGTGAACTGAAAGTGTCGACCCAAGAGTACAAAAAAACAATTACACTCTGCCCTAATCAAGAGCTAGGACCGACGTTAAATATTTTAATATAAAATAAATATTCTTAGATAATTAAAAAAATGGCCGTGTGGTCCCGGCATAGATAAGACCACCCCTTCCTTTCCCGTGGGTTTCGTAAGAGCCGACTAAGGGAGGACAAAGGATGGGCAGCAGCGTCCCTCTTAAAATATCTCCAAAGCCTAAATGCGGTTGCCAATCCGCCTTCCAAGCATGGCAACTACTGGCAAAACTCCCCAAGGGGGAGGCTTATGTTCAGCAGTGGATAGTTAAAGTCTGATATGATGATGCTGATGAATTAAATAAATGACTGGGAATCAAAAATTATAACATTCAACATTAAGGGTTAAAAGTCAGAACTTACGTTATAGAAGGTTTTTGCATGAAGCAATTCATGTCGAAAGATGGCCAGTAATAATAATTCGTTATAATTAACAGGAAAATGTAAAACTATCCATTTTACTCTATGTAGGTATATAATATAACTTTGAATACCATAAACATTTTATACCGTACTGTACATACTTACTATAATCATAGAAACTTCATCTCAACCATATTGGTTGTAATCTGAAATAATCTAATCGATGACGCACATACTACTTTTGGAGTAAGAACCTACAGAGCCCAAACTACATACAAGCGGCCTACTGTAAATACACGCTACTTTAGATACGCAATTGCGCAGTTGTCTCAATCATACCACAATTGAGTTCATTACTTATATGAAGCTTGAGCTCTGTAAGCATACTTACTCATGTGCTACTAGATAATGTAAAAAATTCACATCAGTAGTGTGTGCGTCATCGTAACAGCAGCATGTTGTTACTATCATTCATTATATTTAATATTATATTAGTATTTTTTATTTTCTTATACAATAAATTAACACTAGGTATTTGTAAATGTAGCAGACATTTAGTTGGTAAAGTGGTTATTGTAACAGGTGGAAATACGGGCGTTGGTTATGAAACAGCGAAAAATTTGGCAGAAAGAGGCGCCCGTGTTATTATAGCCTGCAGAAATGACCAACGCGGCAACACGGCTCGGGAAAAAATCATCTCGGAAACCGGCAACCAGGATGTCCACTACCAAAAACTGGACCTTGCTTCTCTGAAATCTGTAAGAGTTTTTGCTGAGAATATACTTAAAACCGAAAAGCGCCTAGATATACTTATAAACAACGCTGGAATTTATGGATCGGAAAATGTAAAAACAGAGGATGGTTTAAACCTGGGGATGCAAGTCAACCACTTTGGACACTTTCTCCTAACCTGTTTACTGCTTCCTCTTATCAAAACCTCAGCTCCTAGCCGTATTATAAACGTATCATCATTATCACATACCAGAGTTACTCTTGATCTAAATAACCTGAACTTTGAGAATGAAACTAAGGAAACTTACGATGTAAACAAAGTTTACGGAACTTCAAAACTATGCAACATCCTAATGACGATTGAACTAGCTCGACAATTAAAAGGGACAAGAGTGACTGCGAATGCATTGAATCCAGGATTAGTCGACACAAATATAATATCAGATGTTCCATTATTGAATCGTATTAGGCCGTTGATTAAACCATTCATGTTCAAGACAACATGGGAAGGTGCGCAAACGTCAATCTACTTGGCTGTCTCCCCTGAGGTAGAAAACGTTAGTGGTTATTACTACAGCGATTGTCGACAAAAATCCACTTCTGCACAAGCTCAGGATACACGTCTTGCTAATGAACTGTGGAAAATATCAGAAAAACTAGTTAAATTAGAATGAACTTTAATTTAAATACATTAAAGAGAGAATAAGAACAAAAATAGCTTCTTAAAATAATTTTCTTAATGTTATGTATACATAATTTTTAATGAAGCATGGGAATATAACATATGACGCTAACTTCCTTGTCTGCTAGACAATTATCTGGCAAATCAGTATTATATGAGATAATTCGCGCTAATTTGCTTTTGTTTATGATTTTATGATAATGTATTTTTATTCATAACAATGTGCTTTTATTTATCTAAGTGTTTTCTTTGTATAAGATGTATTTATTTACAAAAAAAATATAAAAGTTATCTATTATAATTTATTCGCTATCCACTGTAGATGCTTCTTTTACTTATACTTACACTTATAGATGACGCAGTTTGCTCATAATATTAAAAACAGTGTCTACTTGAGTAGTATTTATTATTATTTTTATTCTATTAATATTGCAGAGTCATCGAAGTATTGTATCAAACTTGTTAAAACTTACAATCTTATCGTGAATTTCTTAGTCTGTTAAGAACCTGAATCAATTTCTTAGAATATTTTTTTGTTTACAAAAAGTGTCAATTGTATTTTTTAAGTTAAATAAATTACTGTTATATTAATAATACAGCATTTGACTACATTAAATCACATAATAAGAATAGTTTTTGTTCTAATTCATGCGTAGAAATCCACGCGATATCTCTCCAGGCTCATTCCCGTAGTGATGTTGCGAGAAAAAAATGTACGAAAAGGATGCAATTTTTTTGTAAAAAACCAGCTAAGTGTGCGTCGAAATCGTATATTGAGAATTCCATAGAATGTATTTCGCAAAAAATTGTGATGTAACTACATTTTTGGATTTTCTCCTTTACTAGTGTTGTACAACATTGCTTCTTGCCAAATTTTATGATTTTAGGTCAACAGGAAGTATAAACCTGTAGATTTTGATTCCTTGCAAATATCAAATTATACGCCATAAACAGCCGTACCTTTTGATTGTGTTGACTTAGGATAATATTATACTTTTTTTTAATTTTATTTTTTTCACTACTTCAAGAGACTGCTTGACTTGACTTTTTAAAATTAATTTCAGCTTGATACCTCCACGCGTTTTGAGAAAAAGGGTCTTGACAGATGAACAACACAATGATCCTATAAGGGTTTTTTTCTTTTGAGTTACGGAATCCCAAAAACGTTACATTCTTGTATTTTAACTAATTGTAAGAAATAAATTTTATAACTCGTCTTGCATATTCACCAATCCTTAACTTATTTTAACAATCCTTTTAGCAATCGATGAGATGTACTTTCAAATTGATCACATAATAATTTTAATACACGAAATTTATTTTGCTTATTATAAATCAAAAACTATTTGTTAATATATAATTTCATGTTCAATTTTATTTTATTGAATATCTCTATCTACGATTACAAGCATAGATTAGGGATAACATGTGCTTGTGGGCTCATAAAAAGCAAAAAGAATTTATTTATAATTCAAAGAGCTACTATTAGTATCATAAAAAGAGAATTCCAGATTATCCTTAATACATGTCATTAAATGTTGGCAGTCGCATGCATACTAATAATAAAGTTGACAGAATTTAACAAAATATTTGTAATAAATACATGAGCCTTCATAGAATAATACCTAATACAGTAAATTTTTTTATGTAACTTAGAATGGCAAACAAGCTGACGGCCCTGAATGTGGTAACCATCGCATATAGACATGAGCAATACCATGGGCATAACAGAGTATACTGTTTCGCCCATGATACCCACCATGCGTTATCTTTCCTGAGGACTCAGGTGTTATTCCTCTATATACCACTCTTCAAACCGAAATAACCATGCAAACATAACTGCTTCACGGTAAAAACACGAATGGGACAGAGGTACCCAAGCAAACGACTTTTGTATAGTCTCCCTCTGGTATATACATTTATATTCTGTTATTTTATATTATACCAATCTTTTCTATGTATCGTAAACATACAATGTTTATCTTAGCTTTAAATCCGAGCGAGGTAGGCAAATAAAAATAAAAGATGTATAAATACGAGTAAATCTTACCGCCAATTGCACCTTATTATAACTTCCCATACGAGCTAAAATGAAGGGAAGTACGATAACTAAATAAAACTGTATATATCTTTCTTATCAATCCGAATATTGGTATACTATCTTATCAATACTGTTATTAAAAAGCAAACTTCTAAAAGGTTGGTGAAAAATCATGCTTGTGTAGCAATTTATTGTGCACAACTAATTTAATATTATTATGCTTCGATATTTACTGTATATAAAAATGTAAGTATAGTAAACATCTCCTCAATAAAGTGGTCATCATAATAGCAGACAATTTCGGAATAGGATCCGTAACTGCAAAGGATTAGGCTTAGACCATTTTACCTTACAGAAATGAACAACATGGCCGAGAGCATGAAAAAGCACAAGCTTCATATTAGAAACAGTAGTAGAACAGAGACAACTATGCAAAGAATTTTGGCTCCATCAGTTTTTTAATTATCGATAAGAATATATGATAAACAACGAGCTCGATATTTCTTCTGTCTTCAATGTTTTATATGAGAAAAGGCGTTAATATAAAGGGTATTTTCACTGTAACAAGTAATAATGTAACTATTAACTTGGTTCATATTATAACTTCCCTATATTGACTAATCAATTTAATAAAGGCAACTATGTACTTTCATTAGCTTCGATTCCAAGAAACTTTTTAATTAACAAAATTTTAGATATTTTAGTATATATTGTTATTATAACAAGTATTTAATAGATATTATAAGCTAATATTGTCCTCTTGTGTGGAAAGAGTAAGACCCCTGTGCCCAGCAGTGTCCAACTGGTAAATATAAACAGCTTTGTCATCCTGAATAAACTGAAATGTCGTAATTAATCTTACAAAAATACTATAACACCTAAATATCTTATCTATAAATATTTTAAATAAAAAATACGTTCGGATAGATCAGTACTATTCAAACTTGTATCGGTTTAACACGACTATAATGTTTCTGATGTATTTTGTATTAGTTATTTTCGCGGTAGTCTTAATCGGTCTACTTTATACAAAATTAACTTTGGGTATATGTAAGTGTAGTAAACATCTCGTCGGTAAAGTGGTTATTATAACAGGAGCTAATACAGGGATTGGATATGAGACTGCAAAGGATTTGGCCTTCAGAGGTGCTCGAGTCATTCTAGCTTGCAGAAATGAACAACGCGGCCTGACAGCCCAGAACAATATCATCACGGATACCGGTAATCATGACGTCCACTTCCGTCAACTGGATTTAGCATCACTAAGCTCCGTACGAAAGTTTTCTGAAAATATTCTCACAAACGAAAAAAGACTGGATATTCTTATTAATAACGCTGGCATGGTTGGTGCTAAACATACAAAAACTACAGATGGTCTTCTGCTCGATATGCAATCTAACCATTTGGGACCTTTCCTCTTAACTTGCTTGCTACTACCATTATTGAAGAAAACTGGTTCCAGTCGAATTATTAACGTTTCATCAATGGGCCATAGATTTGCTAAATTTGACGTTAATGACCTGAACATGGATAAAGTAAGATATAGTAGTAAAGTGTCGTATGGTAATACAAAACTATGTAATATACTTATGTCAGTGGAATTATCTCAACGCTTAAAAGGCACCGGCGTCACTATTAACTCGTTACACCCAGGAGGAGTCGATACTGACATTATAGCCAATGTAGTGAATCAAAGTATGTTTTTGAAATTTATGAATTTATTACGTCCAATATTCAGAGCTTTTGCTAAATCTAGATGGGAAGGTGCACAGACGACCATCTACTTGGCAGTGTCCCCGGAAGTAGAGGGCGTTAGCGGATATTATTATAGTGATTGTCAACAGGCATCTACTTCTAAATTGGCTCAAGATAAAGATCTAGCTCGGAAATTGTGGGAAGTGTCTGAAAGACTCGTTAAACTAAATAATTAAATAATAATAAATGGTACTGTTATCCATTACATGGATCATCAATTTTTTTTACATTACTACTAGTTTAAACATAATGTATTTTCTTAAACTTACCAACATCTTTTCTTTTTTAATCTCAGAAAGAAAAATTAAATAAATATTTGTTTCAGTAGTGGTTTTATTTAAATATCGTATATTCTAATAATTCAATAATAAATAAAGCCGGTCGAAATACTAAAATTATCAAGTTATCTGTCGCAAATATTTTTCATATGTGTATTTAGATTTGGTACATTATATTGACAGCTAATACATATCATCATGCCAAACTCCAGAAGTATTGGCAAAGATTACCGAATATTAATAATTATTGCAAAAATTATACATATAAAAACTATACAGGTAATTATCTTTTATTTGCTATTTCATATTTATATTTCTCTAACCAGATAAACATCTGTATACGGAAATGAAGTGAGGTTTCCCCTATTGAGTGCACTGATATTATAAATATCAGCAAAGTCTTATCTTTTAAATGCCTCTAGAAAACGAACAATGCCCTTTCATACAGCTGTCATAACCAAGTATATCAATACTTTCGGAGATAGCAATAGGCTGAAACTGTGAATTTATAGCGTAACAGATTTTACAATAGTAACAGTTCCAAAAATACATGATCAAACTGTTCTTTGGTGTATAAACATTCTAGTAAATATACAATTTTCCATTTGTGATAATTAAAACTTGACGATAAATTAATTAGTCAAAATAATAATGACTCGTTATTCAATCAATTTTTATTATTTGTACTATTATCATCGGCTCCATGATCGAATTGATAAGATGCAATAAAACAAATTCTAATGATAGTAATATACAGGTGTATAGTGATAAAGACAAAATCGTAACTTGCTTTTTATTTATATTATATATATAATAAATTTTTGGGGATCGCACCACCGTGTGCATAGACTACAACTACTTACTGCCCAAAAAAAAAACTTCAACGACGAAATTATACTACATTACGCACTGTTTCCGGAAAATAATACCAGCTAGCATTAATATATTATTTCTTATTTTTAATAACACAGGAAGCAAACATGCAGCTTACCTGATAGTAAGTAACTACCACCGACCATAAGCATCTGCAACACCAAAGGAAATGCAAGTGTTTCTCTTTTCTTGAAAGTTACGATACCGTATCGGGTCGGAAATACTGCTGCTGAAAGTTAATTAAAGGATGGTTGTACGTGGAAAAAAGTGCCTAAATTCTCTTTATTTTATCAATATACTATATGTATTACATATATACACATATATAGTAATTGGCCTCACATTGATCTAACTAAATCGTATTTACCATTAAAGAGATAGAGAATGTACATTAACACTTAGCAAGGAAATATAACCCATTATGATTATATGAGTTCCTATGGTACCATATCTCGTCTAATGCATACACGTCTAATGTATGTTACGTGGTATAAAAATGGATGAAGGTAAAAATGTATACATGGATCTCTCAACCTATTCCATAAGATGTCTGGGGTGAAGATAGATCTGGAATCTATAATATCATATATCTGTTAAATTGAATATTATTTATATTTTGTGACACAAAAGCGCTATGTTCATGACAAGTATTCACGAGGATAATAGTAATTGTCTCTTGAACTGTATTTTATGTCCGACGGAGTGTAAAGGATAAAATATAAAGGTATTCGCGTTGCTTTAGCAAACAGCGGCCCGCCCGCTCCCAATATCTGCTCGAGAAAATAATAGGAACAGAGGCAAAAGAAAACACTTCGTCTGATATCGAAAATATAATCATGTTTGCCGATAAATAAGTACCCTATTCTTTTAGCCAATATTAAAGATACATACGTAGGTGGAAACATTATGGAACTGGAATTACACCAAACTTTTACACTTATATCAATTACGTATATATAATTAAATAAATTTTGTCACTACTATTCTATAGTACTGGCACCATCACTCCAAGTGTCACGCCGTGATGTACTGACATCCATATCTGTAGGATTAGTAAGTTTAATAAGATGACGAGAATCTTCAACAGTTAGGGCACTGCGTAACATTGTCACTATTTGTTTACACATTTCGCTTTTCTTTAACTGTTTTTCTGTCCTTTGTTGCATGGATATTAGTCTTCTTTGGTCTATCTGAACCCGTCGTACCTTCTTCCTCACTAGATTTATGTAATAATCTATCTGATGTTGAAAATTATCAAGAGACCAGTAAAATTTTAAGTCAGCAAGAATCATCAGCAAAAATGCAGTATACATTCCAAGTAAACCGACACCAAAGTAATATAACTTCGGATCGACGGTGGAAATGAATGGACAGTCATCATTGAGGGTTAGACAACTCCAGAAATATGACGGTGATGCTACAAAACCTTGCACACAATTCATGCTGACATTGCAAAAATGTAATAAACTGAAATTTTTATTTCATAAAGTAGGTACCGTAATCTTTGTACGTCAATGCTACATTGACGTTTATTTCATAATAATAAATATAAAAATTAGTAAAGTTTTGTTATTCAAAAAGATTTTAATATGAATGTCATAGGTTATGAATACTAACCAGATCGGTGTCTTATTGGTATAAATATATCAGGTAACCTACGTTACGTATATCATCATTACGTAACATGGCAGTTAATGGTGGAGGCACTTACCTCTCTTAGGGAGGTGCCTCTTACGTTTTGACATTGCGACACGAAAGTCATCAATCAGGTTTATCAAGATTGTTGACAGCCACCACGTTACGACTTTCTCTAAAATGACACATTACCGCATTGCATCTTAAAACGCAAATACACAGTGGCGGACTTATATCAATATCAAAGTGATCTCTTACAGTGGTAAAGTTAAAAATATCTAGAACTGACAGTTTTTCGATACAATAGGAGATCACAATCATTGAAGCACACCGAGTGGCATTTGGCGGACTGGCGAATAAAAGTGCACAATGCTGCTAGCACGCTCCACTTCAAGTAATATTGAATTCCCTTGGACGGTTTGCGAACTGTGTCGTCGTCTCTGAACCAACAAAGAAATAGCACAATACCCAAAGCTCAGCTCAACCTTGTCTAGAAAACTTTCTACTTCTTAAACACTGCTCTAAGTATACGACAAATATTCTCGTGGGATATGTCCCATTCATAAAGAACGTGAAGTTGACAATGTGATTTAAAATTTGTATGCAGACATCTTAATATCTTTAAGATATTCTAATATTTTTAAGAAGAAAGGTCTCCAAATAGATTTATTCCATAAAAAAAAAACACTAAAAATGTAGCAGAACCAGTTATCTTTGTAACTTTTTTAACATTTTTGTTTGAACTACAAAACTACATTTTTATGGGAACAATCTGAAAGTATATCTTTTTAAATAAAAAATATTTTTACAAATCGGTTTATAAATGCCGGAGTTCAGAGGTAACAAATATAAAATATAAAACTGAATTAAGGGACATTCTCCTTTTTTAAAGTAGGTTGAAAATAGGTAGAGGTTTCTTTCAAAAAAATAAATTCCAAGTCAATAAATTTTAATAGGATCTTTTGTTGCAAGAGAGCCAAATCGACTATCGTCTATATAAAAGCACCAGTCGAAAATTTTTGCTGTTAAAATATTGTTGTATTTCAGAGATAGCTCTTAATTTAATCTAAGTTGATGTTTTTAACCATCAATTTCACAAACAAAATCAATGAAAATGATCTATCTTCTACATACACCTATATATTTAAATATCTACTTTTAATTTAAATGCTAATATGCTCTAATACTTAGAATTTCTACAAAAGAAATGCACATTTGCCGTCTTATATTTCACAAGCAATACCACATCACAAGAAAATACGCTTTCTTGACTGACTTTATACTACTCTTAACTAAGTAAGTATTATACGAGTATCTACAAACTTTTGCTGACGGAATTTTGTAATATTTTCCCAATAAAAAAGAATGAAGGAGATTTTTGTAAAAGTTTTATATTCGCAAGTAGCCAATACTCTACATTTCCGATACAACTCTCTGTGAGTACTATTCATGTAACTTTAGCTTATGATAAGACTGCTTTTGAGCAGAAAAGTTTTGAATGCAAACGATGCGATTGTGAATCAGTTTTGCGTTGATTTATCGTAATACTTTAAATTCTGTTTGTTACATATGAATTTAAGTACATAGCAGCGAATATTGCGGCTTCACTTGCCCAGAATGGAAGGCATGTCGAGTTCATTATAATAGTATAATTAATATTAAAAAAAAGTTAACGTTATACCGATAGTAACTACCAGTATAACCTGCATGTGAACGTCTATAGGCATCCATGAGCGTACTGTGTCGGCCATGTTACCCTTCGTGCATTGCCATTCCTGAGAACTAAGGTGTTATACCTTATGCTAGTGTATACATAGGGCCTTATTTAGTATTCTTTTTTGGAAATGTTCGGCGGTAAAACAAACCAACAGCAAAGTGTATCAAAGTACATCAGACATAATTGTGATAAATGTAAATAAACATCAATCAAATATTTTATTTTTTGTAGCTTAGAATGGCACACAACCTGTTAGAAAATGTAAATTATCGCTATAATTTTTTAAATTTTAATGTTGCATTTTAAAATTAAATCTAGTCTTTAAATAAGTCTACGTTTAAGCTTGCTCTATAGATTATATTTTGTACCTGAAACTAATTTGTGCAAAATCTCAAAGCATACACCAATCAGTGAGGGAAATACGATTTAAATCAAAGAAATGTATCAGTGTTTATATTTGTAACTGCCCTATAAATATATTCGTCATTCATACGTTTCAGTAAGACTGAATATTTAATCTATAAACAGTTCATTGAATCTTGAGTATCGTGTTTATTTAATATAATAAAATATGTACCTGCGTTAAAATAACAGCAGAAATGTTTCATTACAAATTTTAATTAATAAATGAAAATATAAATAAGCAAATATCAACTCTCTCAAATGATTTTGTTATTTTCAATTTCATATCAAATTGAAATGACACCGAACAGACGTCAAATGGACTTAATGATAACATTTATGTATTTGATGATAATCATGGCAAGCTTATTAGAGTAGTCGTTTTGATCCAATATTTATTATTATTTATACAACTTAGAATGGCAAACAAGCTGCCGGACCACCTGATGGAAGTGGTAACCGTCGCCTCTAGACATGAGCAGTACCATGGATATAACAGAGTATACTGTTTCTCCCATGATACCCCCATGCGTTGCCATTCCTGAGGACTCAGGTGTTATTCCTCTGTACCCAATAAATTCACGCTATATCCCACCCTTCAAACCGAAACACAACCATGCAAACACAACTGCTTTACGGTTGAAACACGAATGGGACAGAGGTACCCAAGCAATCGACTTTTGTGCAAAGTCTCCCTCTGGTAAAACTTACGTCAAATTATTAACGTAGTTAGATATTAAAATTGAAAATGTACAATTGTAAAACAGAGACAAGATTTACATGACAAAGAAAAAACTCATTTAAAACAAAAAATATTTCCATTAAAATTACCTGTCAAAATCTGAGCAAAAAATTATTTATTTCTAACCAATAAACTCCGATACAGATGGCATTCATTGATGGATGTTTCCAACTTCGTTGCCCTTCCAATATAATTTCAAAATTTGTAATGTACCTAATCTCTTAATTTATATACCGTTGGCTTGTCAACGATAAGGAATAAAATATCTATTATAAACTTAAGGCCCATATAGCAAATAGATCTAATTTCCTGTAAAGTATACGCGAAGTAAAACGAATTGTGCGACAGGATGAGGTTCCAGTTAAAGTTAAGCAATTAAGAAGAGGCTAAGCGGCAAGATTGCATCAGGGAAACTTCTTGTTTTCCGTTCCGAAAACTATCTTCATTACACTATATCTATATACGTGGAATCTGGAACACGGCACGGTACATTGTTTTGTTACCACGAATATATCTAAACTCATATGCTCGCGAACTGATAGCGGAACATTTGGAAGGATTCCAACAATATCGGACTGGATTAGTGACCGCTTTAAAATCTAGCTCTTATTCAAATGGTAGCAAAACATGTAGTTTGGATCGTGAAGTTTATTTACCAAAACTATAACTGAACACATTTTGTGAATTATGACCAAGTGTTCTAATTATGCAAATATCTGCTTAATTCAACGCTGTTATACTGTAATACTATGTATTAACCGACAACTGACGGAGAAGATCGGTTTTTAAGTGGCCACCCTGTACAGACAAACGCAGTGTAATATGATGATGTAAAATGGAACAACGAATGCATGCAGGTTTTTAGTGGATTCAGGTTGCTATTCGAGCTATGTGACCAGCCCATTGCCACTTCAGCCGGCTTATCCCCTGAGCTATGTCGGTGACTTTTCGGATATCGTCATTTCGAATTCTGTCATGCAAAGAAACTCTTTTCCATAGAGTAATTTGAAGCTTAGTAATGCACTTAGTACAGTGGTACTAAGTGCATTATATTGTATACCATATTATATGGTGCTAATATTTTTCTTCTCGTCTCGAGTATGTACATAAACTTTATATCTCACAAATCTATAACTATACTATATACCAAATTAGCATTATTTTTTAATATTATAAAGAGGAAAGATTTGATTGTAATTGATATTGTAATGTTTGTAATGGATAAACTCACGCGGACGAAGTCGCATGTAAAAACTAGTAAAATTTCTTTTTATTATGTAAATATATTAAACAGCTTTCTATACACCTACCTAGACCAATTTAAATAAATAATAATAATAAGGTATATACAATAAAATTTTAAAAAAAGAAAATAAATTAATAGGTTCACTTCTATAAAAAAGAAAAACACGGATATCTGTGTATAATGATTTTTATTACACACTGTCACACATACACACAACTATCAGACATCCCTAATAAATAATCTTAATCTATTTGTTAATTTTATACAAAGCTTCAGTTTTACCCTATCGGTTTATATAAAAGCAATACTTAATCTAAATACAAATACATAATAAAGTTAACTACATGATTGTGAATTACGGGATTGTCAGTGGCCTTAATGACGGAAAACAATGAACAATCAACAGGTTTAAACGAAAACTTAACATAAAATTAACAAACACAGCCATACGAATGAATAACAGTTATATCACAAAACTTAACAACAATTCAACGCTTAAAACTACGTAACAATAACAGCTTAACTATTAACATTGAAACAACATAATGAGTTGAAGCATAATTACTATTTTGTCCCCATAGCGAAATGTTTGCAGAAATTCTATACAATATAAATTATATTACAATAATGTTGTTTCGGAATGATGACAATTCTGAATGTGTAATTTTACTGATAACAGAAATATTAACATCACAAATTTTATATTAAACAAAATGTAATTTATACTTTATTAGGCATAAATCAACATATGAACTTTGTATTATATAATGGTTAAAATGAAATTAAAAGATAGATAAAAAAAACTGGGACAAAATAGGAATCAGGCATAATTTTTTTTTCTCGCAATATCAATAATTAGTACAAGACAATATATCAATAGTTACTATATGTAATTATATAGAGTGATGGGTATTTCAAATTCATAATTATTGATATATTTATTTGATAGATCTACTAAATTAAGATAATGCGAAAAAAATATTGCATCCTGATAAGGTTAATAGGTATAACCCCAACAGAAGGCACCTTAGAAATAAATTAAAAAAATAATGAATTCAGGCACTTTAAGATAAGGCACATCGTGTTTCGAAATTTAACAAAACAATCGACAAATACTTAGTGCAGTGTAGTAAAGAAAAGAAGCATACTGATTACATTTTGGTTAGAGATTAGTATTAAAAATATCGTGTTAATAAGTATTCGTAATCACGGACATAGGCAAAGTTTAAAATTATTCAGAAACAAAACAAAAACTCAACTATTTTATAACAGCCAATTCAACGAGTCAAAGAAAAAATGAAAATATTGTTTAACAATTTGCTTTGATTGGATGTAATGAAACGTAATATGGAAATTTAATAATGATAGTAAAAATAGTAAATTCGGAAATAAAAATTAAAAAGAATGACCTGTTTTATGGTAAGCAAAAATTAACAAAACAAAAAATCAACTATTCGAAACAAATAAATCAAGAAGAACATTGTTTGTCAGTCGATTAAAACATAATGTTTTATTTTATTGATGAACCTTCAAATGAAATACTACCAGACCGGCTGGCATTTTGGTTTTCAAACAAAAAATCAACAATAAAACGTAACTTCACATTCAATGAAGACTGAAAAGGTTGAAGAACAAACTTAACTGTGCAATGTAACTTCTAACGAATGAACTGGCAAACTTAACTAAACACAACAAGTCAACGATTAATTTGCAAAACATACTCGTAAGCCGCGCATTTGAAATTTCAAATAACAAAATCGTAACGTTTAACTTTAACTGAAGTATTAAATAAGAAAATAGTACTTGAATATCACTATGAACAGCAACATTTTATGGGTATTTTTTTATCTCTGTTTTTTTACATTTGTGATGATTAACAATTCGGGTTTAATTGTAACAAACAAAAAACAGTAACAAGTAATTGAAGCAAAATTGAAACAAATTAACGTAACATTGAAAACAAAAACGATATTGGCAACTAATAACTTTAAACAAACAATAGTCATTAAGGCACTCATTATCCAAAGTTGTGCAGATTTGAACCGAGAAACTGTTAACTTCAAATAATGGTACTTACGTAAACTACAAAATGTGTTGTATGAATTCAAATAACACAATTGAGCACTCAACTATTTATATCCCTACACCTATGAACTTAATCGGAAAATTTAATATCTAAAACTAAACTATCTTTGGAAAGGTCTATCAAGATGTTTTCATATCACCTGTATCTTCAGCTCCTTGATTGTGGTATATTTATTGAAGATGAAACAATAGAATTTAGTCGCAGAAAGACGCCGAATGAAGGAGCCGCCATTCATATTGGCATTTCAGTTGAATGTAGTTGTTTAGTATGCCGTTCAATTAGACACATAACATATTTGTATGTATACATCTGTAACAACAATAAATATTTATATTATTAATACGCACAAAATATTATTTATAGGAAACAATGGAATTTTATTGATAACAAGGCAAATTTTAAGTAATACAAATACTTACAATTACAGGCTATAAGAACTCCAAGTACTGTTACAATATAAAATAAAACTGACAGCACACTTAAAAGTTCAACTGTCTATAACTATAATAATGGGGAAGTGAATATTTATAAATAATATTATTTCAAAGCCCGGGGTCCCGACTGACTGTCGGGCCCCGGCGTTGTTCACTACAGCTCTTCAAATTTGGAAGTGACCTACTGGTGGTAAGTGCACCCTTATATATGGCTCCAAAAAATCCTCCCCGCAAGACCGTGGGAGCGATTGCGCACGTGGACTTCTTGCGTAAGCGCACACAATAGGTCCCTTTTTCTTTGTTCGCATTGATTTTAACCCCTCGAACGTCTTGCTTTCTATCAGTATTTACCTGTAGGGGAGAAATCTCACCCGGTGGGAACTCGCGTAATCGTAACTGAAATTGAATTATTATACATGATAATCGTTTGATTTTATTCGAGGGTTGGAAGTTACTTCTAAGTTCACACGGTATGTACCGTTGTTATTCAAATTCAACGTAATGGTAATAATAATTAAGATTTTAATTTTTTCCCTAATGATATTATAGTATATGCAGATTCTCTACATATGTCACCACCAATAATATTACAGTTAAAAATTATCCTTACGTAAACTTTTACGTATCTAAAATCTTGCATTTAAGAAATCATAATATTTATGAGAGACAAATTAAAAAAAAAAAGGATCAACAAACGTATAAAATGAGTAAAACAAGAAAGATATTAATAAAATAGTTGATCAAGTTATTATTATAGTCCTATAAATTTGTATTTCCTGCTGTGTTAGCTTCCATATTTTGTTAAAAACTGGCGACAATGACTGTATTTAGCCCAACAGTATAAAGCACAAATAATATTATACTATTAATAGGTATAAAGTAACTATATTTAATACCTATTTAATGACATCAACTCTATTGTTAAGAAAATTAACTTTTTAGTCCTCTATCAGTTATTTACATGCATTAAATACTCTTTACACTGTCGATAAAATCAAGGGCATAAACAAAATTGAAATCCAATACTACTCATACATGTATTCGCTGGTTCTCGCAAGTCATTAATTTGCGAGGTTTACAAAGCTACGTCGATTGACTTGCCGAGTGTTTGTTACCAAACAAAAGATCTTTTCAACGCTACCAAAGAACGTGCACTGCTTAAAATAATGAGGGTTTTAATTTGTAATGCAAAAATAGGGCTGGTATATAATCAAACTGTTATTGCACTAAATTAATTAGATATAGTATGTATATGTGAAACTATGTAAATGATTATTAGAATTATCTTTTCAATTTATCTTTTTAGACTTAAATATGCTGTTTATGTTCCGAAGAAAATTGAATAAAATAAAACTAAAAGCAACTTCATTATAAAATATAACATCTACTTACTTTATAATTATTATGTCTTTATACTTCATACGTTTTTAAAGTCACTAATAATAAATTCGTATCATATACACTATATTAAGTGGATACTGGTAAAAAGAAACTGTAATGAAAATACTATTACATACTGACTGAATCATTTATTATACTTTTTAGGAAAGATAAATAACTTTGACCGACCGTCTGAAAAATTTGCTATTCTTTTCGCTGTTATTGACAAGATTTAATTTATCACCTTATCGCAAATAACCCAGTGTTTTCAAAGTTTCCAAGGATTCAACTTCTTATCCTAATCTAGGATGAAATATTAGGCCCATACTAATTGATTAGCCTTAACTTTGTTATATTAAGTATACGAGGATCTGTCTGGTGGTATTATTATTTAAATAGCCATAATCTGCAATTTTACAGGTGTGAATTGAAATGTATTAAAATCTATATAGTCTACCTGTCTACCAAATCGTTCAAATCTCTGCAGCCATTTAAAAGTCTCTATATATTTACTTATCAATATCGAATGTATTCAATTCAGAAATAAAACTTTTTTCGATATTCATTCAAACTTGCTTTTAAACTTTTTTTTTTAACTTATAGAAAGACGTACATTTTCTCTTGATTGAGTAAAAAATAGATATATTCTGAACAAGTGCAATGTGAAAAATAAATTACATATTTCGACCTGTACCTATTCTTATGTAAGAAAATATATATGATCCAACCTTATGCTATTTTTACTACAATCTATGTATCAACCATTATTCGCATCACGATGAGATTGATTCTAAAATTTCTAACCAGTTTCTCGTAAGTGGGAGAATTTGTAGAATGGAATTAGAGGAGAGACTTAATAGGCTGGTGAGATTGAAACTGAACTATCATTCTGCTAAATTGTCCTTAAAGCCAAATTCAAACTATAGTGTAGACCACGGTTCTTTCTTGATCCGATCTCGGTCTGTTAAAATATTATAACATAGGAAACAGTGTGTGCATTTATTTATTTACTTTATACTTTATTGTACACACTAATAATTCATACGGAAATGTAACAGTGAAAAGCAAATGTACAAAGATGAGTTTCTCTGCAAGAATTCTCTTTCAGAGAATGGAAAGGAGCATTAATGTCAGCGGGTAAAATGGTGCAAAAAAATAACTAGAAAAACTGAACTTTATTCGTAACTATGTAATTATATTATATGTAAATTATATATAGACATGTATATACATAAACATAACTATATACTTACATACAAATACACATACATATAAAAAATATGTACATAAGAATAGAAAATACTTTTAGAAATATTTAGAGATTGACTTTCAAAGATAGGCATGTAAAGGAAATTCCACAATCCAGCAACGTGGTATGTACTCATACTATTAAACCAGGTCCATTCCAATCACTATTAATCTCGAAGCGTTTCTGCTTATTAGACCGAGATCGGACTAAGAACGAACCGTGACCGGCACTATAATGTGAATGTAGCCTAAAATTAATGAATTTGGTGATATTACATGTTTGAGAATGATATTTCACAAACAGCCGCAATATTGTGGTAAATGCGGCGAGGTAGAGTACGTAACATGTTTTATTTAATAGCGACGATATTCATAGCGCTGTGTGGTTTTCTGCGTTCCACCCCCAGATACTTCTTATCAATAATATAATACACTCTGTGTATCCTAATTAAAAGACCAGTTATTTCGTAGAAATATACCTTTTATCTGGTATTTTTATTCCTATGGGATTATATAGGTTATATTACTCAAAAAATATTGCTACTTGACTAATGACGATTTTTTAAAGAGCATGCTTGCTCTACTATTACTACTATTAAAAACAGCAAATGAGGAATTGCATGAATTAGGTATACCGACAAAATAAACTTTTAAATAAAAAGAAAGGTTAGTCAGAAATAGACTTTTATGAGGAAGAACTTTTAGAATCTATTTAGTGACTCAAATATATTCCCAAGACGCTGACAATACTAGTTCATTCTATGATTCAACTAATGCATTGAGCGATTGATAAAAACGCTTTATTTTGCCTAAAATTGTTAATATAACATTTGCTCTGAATAATATTAAAAACTAAACTTCTATTTGTATGATAAAAGCGATATCAGTTTAACTAACAAAATTTCAAACAAATGCAAAATGCCGGGAGACTTTTTGTTGTACAGTGTTCGTGGCACAGAATTTGATGTCGGCAAATCGGAACAAAACGTGCCAATTCTTTGTTTCTCGACGAAAAATCATTCTATATTTTCATCCCGCTGGTGTATTGCGCCTAGAAAGCCCAAACCAATCGGTTTGCGGCCGGAGTGCCCATTCGCGCCCTATCTATTCCATGTATTTCCACTGGGAATTATTTACGAATCATCCGACTAGGGTATGTGTATATAAGTATATGTATATGTAGATATATAGGATCTGGGTACATGATTTTAACACTACAATAAGAATATTTCGACTGTTGTGATCAGAAATACCAACATTTTTTTAAATGCATTTTAATACATGCTTAAGTTTCATCATGGAATAACTCTAGGTGAACTAATAGTAAATATGTAATTATTAAACTACAGAGAGAAAGAAACTGTATAAATTGTTAATTACAATATAGATAGTCGGTGTCCTCATTTCATATTTAGAAACTTCTTTTAAACGTCAAAATGTAGGTATAAAGTTCAGGCCATTGCACCAACTGCAGAGATTTTACCACAGAAATATATACCTATGTGAACCTACGTATGTACCTGTACATAAGAAGGTACATAAATATATGTAAAAAGTAGTATTCTAGTAATTTAGTATGTATGGTAATAATTCAGTATGCACCGCCTACTACTTCTACTATATTTAATTGTGTATTATTATACTGTTCTACATTATAAAGATAAAATAAATAATTCAGTTCAAAAATCACTAAAGATAATGGTTTATTATCGGTTGTCCAAATTTCATCCAAGTCTATTAACAACAAAAAGTCACAAATATTTAAATATAATCAGGAAGTTTAGACATTTATAATATTAGTAGAATTTATACTAGGACTAACAAATTTACTAAAATTAAAATATTTACGATATTAATTTATTTTAACCTAACAATGTTTATAACAATTTTCCACGTAAATTGTTTTAAAAAGTAACATAAATTGGTTAACATTAAAATTTTAATGTCCAAAAAATAAAAAAAACAAACTCACTTTCATATTTATAAGATAGTAAAGATGCTGGTACATTGTTGAAAATCTATTTTCTGTGTCGTAAGGATACATGATTGTTACTCCACACACAAAAGGCCAGTTCATCCAAGGATTTCCTCACATATCCCTATAGCTAATACGTAAAGCAGGCATGTCTGTGTATCCAGTGGGACATTGCTATGTACCGTACAAACAAATTATTTGCCTGCACGAATAAGTTGCCCGGGTTGACGAAGATGTATACGAAAGCTTGTCCCAAAGGGAAATTTGACTACATTCAATGTACACATGTATGTTTCGGTGTTACATTACATTACCACAGTAGGTACTTTAAATGGCATAAATAGAAATTGCCTAGTATAAAATTCATTAAAATGTAAATAACATAAAGAAATTTTACGCACCTATTTATTTATATGAGGGTAAATAAATACATATATATAGTAAAAATATTATTCTAATAATCTTAATGTTTAGATTGTTTGTGTATTTGTTTTAAAATATATAAATCTAGAATGTAGTCAATCTGAACTTTAAATATCATATAAATGTACAATTGAGTATC